ATACGCCAGAATATAGACACGATTGAAACCCAGCCATCACATCTCCGCGTTGTTGTCGTGGAATAGCATTAACTTTGTCACAACCTGTCTGATATCATTTTTGCTTCTATCTAAAAATTTACCAATGACTTCTAATTAAAATAGAAGTGTATTCACACGGTAAATTTTATCAAGCTAAAACCTTGGTTTCTAAAAGAATAGCTACAATATCGCTACAATTTTTGTTTTTAATGCAATCGTCGCACTAGCGTAGCAGTCCTCGATGCAATCGGGAAAGCACCCCGATATCGACCAACCAATCAGCATCGACGAAAGCCGTCGGCTGAATAGGGTGTATCGATTTTGTGGAAACCATGCATTGGGGTTTATTTATTTGGCATTCTTTTGTCGGCTCTTTGCAACCCAAACATTGGTAGCGACCAAAAGGATGCGGAACAGAAGTTTAAAATATTGTATCATAAAGTTATTTTGGAATGACTCAATTGACTACCAGCCTAATTTGCCATATAGCCTATTACAGCATTTCAAGGATGGTTGAAGCTATTTGGTATAATTTGAGGTTTTTAACTCTCTTTCGATTTTCATTAGAACAATAGAGCACGCGTAATAAATTGGTAACAAACACGATAAAACAATAACCAATGATGCCTTAAATGCTTTGATAGGTCTTTATAAGCGTTTGGGCAGTCCACTAGTTACGAATTACATTACTTCTGTAGTAGATTGATCTTATGCCACTAAAAGCAAGTCGCAAAGCTGCAGTGGAGTTTAGCTTGGTGGTTAAGATGCTTGCCTTCCAATCCCAGGATCCTGGGTTCAATTCCTGCCAGTTGCAGGATTTTTTCTCACGAGCAAAACATCTCCACTCCCTACGTCCGTGTTACCGTAGTGAATGTTCAATACGTTCTCAAAAAATACCAGTTTGGTTGTTTCAGTCTATTCTATCGGTGATTCGATCGGTGTTGAGTATTTTTATACGGTACCTCTATTCTCCCGCTTGAAGATGATCTCGTCTCTATCGTTGTAGTTTAGATGTATTGTATTTCAAGATCCTGTGCACTTGTTTTAAGCAACGTTCTCGTTCCGTAATTTTTGTTTCGATTATGTGATACTTGTTCACATTTGTTAATATGTAATTTGAACGTAGCCTCAGTATCAATTAATTTTCAGTTTCTCTTGTTTGTCATTTCTTTTTTCCTTGTTTAATTTATCTACTCACATGGTGTTAAGGAGCCCCTTCTCCTCCCTTCTATACGTCATCCTCCTCTTATTTTTTTTTTCTTGACCCGAATCATATTTTATACTTGCATTTTTTTTTTATTTGAAAGTCATCAAAAATGCTTACCGGTATTAAAATCGTATTCAATTTAGGCATTTTAAAACAATGAATTAACGCGACATATATAATTAAAAAAAAAAAAAAATATCAAATACACCTGTAACTTAAAGTCAGCCAGTCGTCACAAGATAGGCCTAATTCAGTATGCTGTATCGATTTGTTGTTTTACGAATCACTCATTAGCTTGACAAGGAAACATCTGATTTAGGTCATTTGAATTTTTATTGTAGGTTCTCCCTCTGAGAAGTCGCATCCATAAAAAAAATCAGAGTCTCTGATTATTTTTATGAAGGCAACGCTAACAAGTAACATGAACATCAATGTTTCACTTCAGAAACATTATGACATTATAGAGATTCGAATCCGACCCACAATGAAGTATTTACAGGAAAGTAATAAATTCCATCTAGGAATGTGAAGGGAGGGTTTCCGTTTAGTGTTGTAAAGTCGACAATTACGTTTATAATTTCTTTTTTCCCTTTGAGGTCGTAGTCCGTATACATACGGAGTAATTTACATCCCTGGATGGGCGCCCCGTATACGGTACGGACATACTTCTCTTATTGTTTTTATTATGCTGCCCTCTGTTGCAGACTCTTTTAGGGGATTTCCCTAACGTCATAGTAACTAGACGAGGCTTAGCGATTGTATAGTTTTTCTGTCAGTGATTGCTTGGTGTACTTGGATAGACGAGGATAGCGGGATTGTTTATATAATTAATTAATTAATAATATAAATAATATGCATCTGAGGAAATATTTTAACTAGAAATAGTAGCAGCGCAAGCAGTAATGCTAGGCCTAGGTCTGCAAACGTTCATTTCGGCCTTGGTCATGTACATGGACCCCACCTCTCATATTTCAATACCCCTACCCCAATCTTCTCTATTATTATTACATTATATTATTATTTTATCAAGTGTACTAGTTTTAGTGAAATATATCCTAGGTCTTAGAAATAAGCATAATTTAGGCCTAGCTAGGCTGAATTGCCCTCTATCGTGGGAGGGGACGTGTGATAGAGGCCGTTCCCCAAATTATGACCTCAATGACCTTTGTGAACTTGGGCATAAAAAATCGTCATAAATATGAAAGCATATTTTTTAACACATTTTATTTCTGTAGAAAACAACATATTCCACATAATGCGAAACATGTAAGCGCATAGAGGTCCCTACAATATGCCCTATATAAGTCGACAATTGTTATTATTATTATTATAGGAATTTTTTTTGTATCGTTTACATGGGGTTTATGGGAAAAAAAGTAACCTTTTTGGGCCCCTAAATTGCAATTTTGGGGCACATGACCTTTGACCTAGATAAACAAATCAAACAATTTTGCTATTTTTCGGAAGCCCAAAACATTTTACCCACCAATCAAACCCAACATTTGCAGAAAGTTAGTCATTAAAAATTATTATGCGTTTTTCAGAAACCTATTAAAACCCCTGAAGGGTCCCCAGCGACCTAGAATAGACCCCCTTGGGACTTCAAATTGTTAAGAGAGGACAAGAATTTTGATTGGTGAATAAATGGAATGTCGTTTGGTTGAACTGGGTAAATTAGAACCAAATGCTCTCAATATGGAAGATATCACTCCACTTTGCGGAGGCAACAAGGCGGTAGACCAGCAGCATGTAAAAGGCAGCCGACTCTGAACTGTAATTTAATTATTTCATTTTATTAATTAGTCGGGGTCTACCAACAATATTCTTCAAGGTGGATTTTTTCATCTGGTTTCTTGGTCTCTTGACTTCATTTTTAATCATGGGGTATTTGCCAAGTATTGAAGTCCCCATTCGCAAACTTCCTCTCCCACAAAACTCCTGTACTCCTGGTGAATAGTGTGGTTCACATCTAGATGTGTATAAGAGACAGTGGAAAAAAAATCTTTTGTGTGTGCTTCCCGTGTATACATATTACGCGTAGTAGGCTACTTAACCTTAACTTCTTTTTGGATTCTATCTAAAAGTTCCTAGCCTCCTACTAATTCGAAAAAAAAAAAAAATCTTCAATTAAAGAGGACTCCCCACCCAAAATCACCCACGCCCCATCCCCCACATTCAGTGTTTTGCACCTTGCATTAACCTCTTCCATTGCTACGTTCTAGATCCGCCACTGCATAAAGTGTTTTAAATAAACAAATACTTGATTATATTACAGTAGGCCTACGCCTTATAATATCCCCTGGTCACAATGGTTTGTACTGCCGTACACGATACATATATTATATAGGCAGCTAATAGCTGCGAAGCAGCCAATTCATATTCTTGACAGCAATTTGACCTCTGAAAGGTCATTGTTTGTCAAAAAACAAGATAAGACGACTGAAAAGCGGAGTTTCCTTAAATCAAATCAAATCAAATCAAATAAATCTTTATTGCAATCATAAAACAATAGTAGCGATTGGAATATACAAAATATAAAACAGTACTAGAAAAAGAGGAAATATTAATAAATATCAATAGAGAAAATAAAAGCATTGAGATAATTTAATTAATATATAATTATTATTATTATTATTATTAAATCTAATTATTAATTTAATTTATGAATTATTCTTAAAAATTACTCTCAAATTATATTTTTAGTAACATCAAATATTGCACAAAGGAATACAGATAAAAATTGATTGAGAAAGGCAAAAAGGGGTTACACTAAACATCAAAAATTACTTTGTAAACATAAATAAGCTTAATTAAAAATAGTATTAAAAAACATCAATATGACTTCAAAAATTTGCTAAATTAAAAATACCATTAAAAACTTCAATAACGACATCAAAATTTGCTTAATTAAAAAACCATTAAAAACATCAATAATGACATCAAAATTCCTAAATAATTACATTGAAAGCAAAATTAAACAAATATATAGAAAAAAAGCCACATTATAGGCGGGGGGTTGGGGGGACTAGCTCAGTATGGGCGAATATCAGAAAAATCAAAATTTGAAGAAAAACCAAAAACAAAAAGGGGCATTGACATTGTTGGGGGAAGGTACTAGTTCAAGATGGGCGATCACAGGTTAAAAAGATTATTGATTTACCATTGATGGAAAATACAATAGTTAATGATGAATTTCTTGGTTCTTTCACACTTAATTTTGGGTAGTGCAAATTGTCTAATATTCCTTAGTCTATAATTATGGTCTAGCGTTGGGGTTAGGAGATGATTTAATCTGTGTTCGCTCTTCTTGATTTTCTCAAAATAGATTTTAGAGAGATATAGCAATCTGTCTTTAAGTGGAGATAGGCCTAGTAAAAGAAGAGCATTTTCGTATGACATTCCTGGAAGAATGCATTTAATAGCCCTCTTTTGAATTGTTTCAATGATTTGTTGTTGCTTGAGAGTGGTGCCAGTAAACCACAAAGGGCACGCATACTCAGGGACTGACCTAATAACACTGCAATAATAGTGACGCAAGGTGAGGGTATTAAGGCCACATCTGCGTAATTGTTTTAAAAAGTAGATTCTTGTATTACATTTTGATACAATAGATTGAATATGGCTTTCCCATCCTAGGTCATCCTGGATCGCAAAACCTAGCAATTTAGATTGACTAACATTGCCAATATTAACACCATTTATCTGAATCATTGGAGGTTGTGATTTTACATGTTTACAGCTAATTAGCATTTCCTTAGTTTTCTTTTCATTAATCTTCATTCTGTTGCTAGTGGACCAGCTACAGATTTCCTCACTGACATTTTTAAAGGTGCTCGGTTCTTTACTAGAAATCTTTTCTGACACCGTGGTGTCATCCATGTATTTAACAATAGGAAGATGAACTTTAAGGTCATTAATGAAGATAATGAAAAAAACTGGCCCGAGCATTATTGAGATAAGGGCATCAACTGTTGATACACCTTTCATACAGCCGAACTGATTTAAATCAATCTTGTCCTGAATTCCATTTAAAAGCATTTCTCCAATAATACTTTCAATTATTTTCCCACATACAGAAGTTAAAGAAATTGGTCTGAGGTCAGATTCGATGGATGTGGGAGGATTAACTTTTGGGATAGGGACAATAGACAGGTGTATTAAGAGGGGCAACAGTAGGATTTTGAAGGGGTTCAAAATCATCAGTGACTGAATTGAAAAATTCAGCCACTTTTTCTGCTAATTCTTGTTGGTTACCAATACATAGACTGTTTGTCAAGTAGTTTAGAGGGCTGTTTAACTTAGTTTTGTTCAATAATCTATTGGTCTTACTCCACCATGATTTCACATCAACCTTGTAGAGCTGCGAAACTTCCTTTTCATAGTATCTGCGTCTAAGTTTTTTAGAGGCTTTGTTTACTATATTTCTGAGTTTCCTGAATTCAATCATGTTGATTATGGAAAATGCTATACTGGATTTAATGTATACATCCATAGAAAATTTCTATGAAACACCATACACTGAACCTGGACTGGGTCTGTCCGACCACTTAGTAGTTCTTTGCAGGCCTAACCTAGTGAGTAAAAGAGTACCACCAACTAAGTCGTACCAGTATAAGAGGAAAGTCAACAATCAAGCAAAGGAACTGTTTGAGCAAGATCTTACGAATATTCGTTGGCATGAGTTATACACGCAAGCAACCTCTGCTGAGCAGTACGAATTCTTTGCTTCTCGGATCAGAACTCTTGTTGAAAAACACTTTCCGCTTATCCAAGTTGTTCGCACTAATGTTGACAAGCCATGGGTTACAAGTTACTACAAATCCTTGATCTACAGACGTCAAGCTGAACTCAAGAAAGGGCAATCCTTAACAATCTGTTTTAACAGGAATTGCTTCAGTTGAGCATCTTTCATTCTATTGAAGTTTCCTAGTATGAAAATTCCGGTATCAGGATGCTTAGTGCGGATAAAGTCAAGGTTATTCGAAATGTGATTACACATAATGAAATCATTGGCGCTAGAGGGAGAGGGATGGTACACAGCAGCAATAGTGATGTTACTAATAGATCTAGGTAAGCATTTGGGTCGTATTGTAACAAAAATGCTTTCAATGTTCTCAGTTTTAAGTTCAGTCCATTGTTTAAAAGGAATAAGTTCATTGATATACATTATAATATCTCCGCCTCCTCGATGCAATCGATCAGCACGAATCATGGAGTAGCCATCAATATCATATAAGCAGTTGTTCATGTGAGGTTTAAGGTGCGATTCTGTGATAACTATTACATCCGGGCAGGACTGCCTAACTCTTACCCTTAATTCTTGCATTTTATTCGTCAGGGAGCGAGAGTTTGTTAACAAAAAAGATGGGAGTGTCCACTTACTATCTACCAATGTAATGAGATTCCATTAATTTGGAATGGTCACCTTTTTGTTCTTGGTATAGAACAAACACTGATAGTTCTGATTTTCCTTTTGCCTGCTCTGGACCCTCTAGGTCTCGTCTTAGCTATTCTCAGTTTATTTAAGATCGAAAATAGTTCTACAGATGGCTTCCCAACGTAGCGGTTGTTCAAATCGATGAGCTTACGGCGAGGATACCTGTAACACATGATGATGAGCAGGTAGCCAAGTGTTGAGCTAGTCTTGAGCAATGTGTGAGCGGCGGGTGATCAGAAGCGAGAGTGTGATAAAAGCAAGTTCCTCCTACTGCTGGGTCTTACAGGCCTAGCAATGGCTCAGAAAAAACAACATCCTAAACACCAAAAATCGGAGAAATATTTAAACAAAAAGCAGGCACAGACTCTCCACAGACAGTTCACAGACACAACACTGAGGTAAAGAAACAAAATAGCACTGAATTTATTGAGAAAGACTGAAAATTTGTAAACAAATTCCAGACAAATTCTCAGTGCAGCTGCCGCTCACTGCAGCGCCACCAACACGGGTAAAATCAATTACTTTAGGCGACGTTTGTAGATTAACCAACACGTACCAACGTACTTATCCTACTCTAGGCCTAGACTAGCTAGGATGGTATAGGCCCTAGCCTTGAAAGGACGAAGGTCCCAATGAAAAACAACGTTGCTCCTTGATAGCTAACATTGTCTATTTAACATCACAATAATTCATTATTAGACCTATAGTTGTTTTTTGAATTGTACTCCACAAATCTCAGCCGATACCTCGCACAACCCGAGTAACGTCTCATATCTATTGTCGTGACGTCATGGCTCGCTGGCTCACACTTGCGATGTCTCGCACTTGTGATCAAATAACACGCTGGCTCGCACTTTGGCAACATTCTTTGGCAGTCAACTCGCCCCTAGAAAACCCGCCCTTGGAAACTTTCCCCCCCCAAAAAAAACAGGTCATTCCATTCATAGAAAAAGCCGTACATTTTACTATTATAACAACACTTGATTGTAACCTACCCACAAACCGCAGACATAATATATAATAATAATAATAATAATAATAATAATTTATTCGAACATACACTTTTACATCAGTGGCACGCGTCAAAGGACGGTGCGTTCAAAATAACAAATTCAGATAAACCAAACAACAAAAACCTACTAAATAAACAAAAAAACCAAACTAAACTAATAAACCAGTGAAAATGTTACAAAATGTATACAAACTTCTAAACAATGTGGAGTGCATCCAGTAAATTGTATGCCTAAAAAGCAAACCTTAGAGGGCGGTATGTAGATTTTGGCATAAACCACTTTCCTCGTTTTTAAGGACAGGGCTTTTCCTAGTTTCATCACTTTGGTTCAGAAAGTCAAGTTGTTCAAAAGACGCACATTCATATTTGCTCTAATTCAACCTGATCTATAACCTATTGCTTACTGAGGAATTTTTGACAATCATGGTTTTCCGCAAATAATATGGAAAAGGCAGGCCTAATTCTGCAATATAGATTTTGTTAGGTAATAATTGTCTTTACATATGTACTGTGTACTAAAATATTTAGACCTAAAAATAGAAGTCATATTTTTCTTCCATAAATCATAATCAGTAATAATTCATACTGATGGAAATAATATTGCTAATGGTAACGATGATGATGATAATGAGGGTGGCTGATGGTGGTAATGAAAATGGTGGAGAGTGATGAAAATGAAATGGATTATAATGAATGATGATGATGACAGAGTATTATAATTAGTGAATACATCAGTCTTTTAAAGTGACAACCCCTTTTAAACTTAGACTCTGGAGGGAAAAAAATTGTTGATGTGTTGTAGAACTGATTTTAAAACTGGGGGGAAAAAGGTGTTAAAAAAGGCAGTTATGCCCCATTTTTCCCCCAGTAAAATATTCAAAAATCTGTATTTCATTCACCGTTCCCCAGTTTTACGTCAAACAACTTTTTTCTGTCCCCAGTAAAATATTCAAAAATCTGTATTTCATTCACCGTTCCCCAGTATTACGTCAAACATCTTTTTTTTGTCTTAGGAAAATCAGTTCTACAACATATCAAAAATTCTTTTTTGTCAGAAGCCTGACTTTAAAAGACAAACATAAACACAAGGTGCTTGTGATGGGGCTAAGGAAGTGGATGGTAATGAGAAAAAAATTTTGCTCTGGACCATTTATATTTTGGCACAGGGATTTGGATATGAAACGTTCAGGGAATTAAACATTTTTCAATTACAGCATTAATCATTTTTCA